TAACGAAAATTGAAAAAAAATTCAAAATTGAATTTAAAAAAATTTGTTATGTGTAAAAAAATGCAAAATAAATACGCACCTAATCGACAGGTACAATTCAGTATAGGCTTTACTTAGCTCTGAAACCTGTTTATAATTCTTCTGGAACATTGCATATGTTCAAACAAATAAACATAAAATATACATTTTTTAAAGAAATTAAATACCTTCATTCTTTTTGCTATTATTTTTCATCCACAGCGAATATATATAAATATGCATACGTATACGCACTCTGTTACCCAGCTCCTTTAGCTCAGTTTTTTTATTCCTATATGTTTTGTAAATTGTACATTTTTTGCTTTAAGAGTGAATGTATAATAATTTTCTTATATTTCGGTTAAAGTTTGTATGCTTTTAGTTAATCTGCATGCAACATATGTAGAATTATATGCAATTTAAATTTTGTTTTAAGTTCTAATAAGCCTAACGACGGAGCCATTTGTTTACATTTAAAACTTAGTAGCACAGTGAATTAAGTCGGTTTATTCACCAATTTAAGTGTCTTTTTTGCCGAGTGGGAGCAAAAATTTTGTTTACCAAAAAATCTGTCTTTGTGTGTAATTATGATTAATTTAAACTCTAATTTCAGTTATTTAGAAGTTTTTAACTCTTTAGGTTTTTCTGTCTTTCACAATTTTTAACGAAGATGCTTTAAGCTCTTATGTACTTTTCCCTTGCCGTGGAGTACTGAATTCATCGGATGAGAGACATACCTCTAATAAAATACTGGAAACTATGTTCAAGTGAAATGTAGCATAAAAGTCCATAATTTAATAAGTTGTACAAGGAAGTCATGTGGTGTTCACATTAGGTTTTTTAAATACTGTCGTAAAAGTATTTTATAGATTTTTAAATTATCTATATATTATGGAATTTCTCACGACCCAATGTAGTTGAAAAATACGGAGATATATATAACTAGAAGGGCTTCACATTCAAGATAGTAAATTTACGGTATATTGAAGAAGATTGGGGGTAAACTACTTAGTAATCTTGTGCTAATAGGATGTTTCAGAGTGAGTAACAGTTCCTCTGAATAATTTTGTGAATAAATTATCTTTAAAATTTTCTGGCAAAAGTAAATTCTGCTGAATTATTCCGTCGATATGAGGTGCTCCATGTTTTGTTCTCGGGAATTTCTTTGTTTCAAACCAGGATGGCACATAACATTTCATAACATATTCGGATAGTATCTTCAAGGAGTCTGTCGTTATTTTGGGCAATAATTTGAGTCAACACTAAAGAATAATACTTGTATGATCCATTGTATCCAGCTGTGTTTAGTTCACAATTATCAACATCCGAAGTAATCGTTTTGACTTTATTCAAACATTATACACAACATAACTTGAGCAATTATGACGAAATTCGAATGTTATAAAGTCAACACATTGAACCGATTGACATTCACTTATATAAATCAGAACTAGAGGTAAAATATGTTCTTAAAATTATTTTTATCCGTCTTTGTTTTTCACTATTCTGATACATAAAAACGAAGAATTGGCGGTTAATACATAAAAGCGCAGAATTCTGTTGGTTGTAATTAGCCATCATGAGTGGTCCATCTTTCCAGGATTCCTGTATGTTATTTCTGAAGGGCATTCCTACGAGAATACTGCTTTAGAAATATTAAGGAGGTATTTTTAATCAGTACTGAGATCCTTTTTGTCAAGTTACTTCATTCATTTCAAATCAATTTGTTGATACTGACATTTCCGAAATATCGCAAAAGATTGCAAGTATGTTACAGGAAAATTCTACTGATCTAGAAATAATGATTAGATAAGATAAGAAAGCCTGAACAGGATCCAAAAGTCTATTTGTGACAGTCTCGTTTTTAACTGTAGACTAGACTTTTCTTTTAAATATAAAAATATAAAAATATAGAAACAATTTATTATTTTGCTTTGTTCTGTAGAAGGAGGACCTGTTTCTTATACGTTGCACTTACAAGCAGGAATTTCTGTAAAAATTTTTAGTATTTAGTCAAGAAGCAATAACATCAAATAAAAGAGTAGATTGGATACATAGAAATAGATGTAATATTATTGTGTTACGAGAAAGTGGTCTTTCATATGCTGAAATTTGCAAGACAGGTGGGTGGTTCAGTGACTACATCTGGAGTCTGAAAGTTTTATTTACGATATCAAGAGACAAATTCAATAAAAAACAAAGAAGGAAAAGGCCGAAAAAGGTGCACCACATCTCTTGACGACAGAAGAATAAAACGACTATGTCTCCAAGATAGAAAAATGTCATCAGCGGCCATCAGAAGTGATCTCAATGATGCTGGTGTTTCTGTCAGTTCAAGAACAATCAGGAGAAGATTAACAGATGTTGGACTGAGAGGTAGAATTCTACGAAAAAAGCCTTATCTTAATTTTCAGCAACGAAAAAAAGGACTACAGTGGGCAAAGGAACACATTAATTGGACAGATGATCAGTGGTCACAAGTTATATAGAGTGATGAAACTAAGATATCGTTATTCGGTAGTGATGGGCGAAAATATGTAAGACGTAGAATAGGTGAAGAGCTACATCCTGAATGCATTCAAGCAACTGTGAAGAACCCAGTTAGTGTTATGATTTGGTCATGCATGTCAGCAGATGGTATTGGTCGCCTTCATGTCATCGATGGGACACTGAATGCCAGAAAATACATTGACACTATTCTAAAACCGAAACTTCTACCTTCCATCAGAGATCTCTTTCCCAAAAATGCTTCGTTTATTTTTCAGCAGGATTCTGCTCCTTGCCACACGGCCAAAATATCGAAAGAGTGGTTTCGTACAAAGAGCATTAAATTGTTGTCATGGCCAGGAAACAGTCCTGACCTCAATCCTATCGAACATTTGTGGCACCGTTTGAAAACTCTGTCAGAATGAGGCGCCCACCAAATAAAAGGGAACTAATTGAGGCTATAATTGTTTCCTGGCATTATGTAATAGCGAATGAAGAGCTTAAAACTCTTGTCAGCTCAATGAAACGTCGATGTGAAGCTGTAATCTAAAATAAAGGGTACCCTACTAAGTATTGATAACTCACTGCAATCATCACTATCTAATGTATATCGATAACTATTATCGTTTAACTTTTTTGTATTGCAAATAATTGAATTTTGTGTTTTCTATTGAATTCAGTAATAAATTCTCTTTAAAATGATATATACAAGTTTACATTTTGTGAAACGTAACGTTTTCTATAAGCATGCAAATTTCAAAAACATAAAAATTTCCAAAAGTGTCCACAATTATGGCCATCACTGTATAAAAGCAAATTTAGAAAAATGATGGCGATTATCAGTATTGATAAAATAACCAAATATCCGTATTTTAATGTTCAGTACATGTGCTAGTTTGAAGTTTAAAATTTTTGTAATATGAATCTTTTGTAAATAAAAATTGCTAATGATTATTAAATATAACTGATAATGAGGTAAATTTAGGGAATTTAAATTTCAGTGTTAAAATCATAATTCCTGTTATATATTTATCAAAATTCATATACGGTATCCTTTTATTTTTCTTTGTTTTGGGTCACCATTTTTCATAGCTCCGAGAATCGATATCCTTTGACAAAAATACCTGCAGTTCAGACGTTTCAGCGTTTTGTTGGTCGTATTCTCCATGGAGGACCACTTTGCCATAGTAAATAAACTAAACACAAACGTTCTTTTAGGTTTCCTTGATTTTCTTGATTGAATAACTCCGAAAGAAGTAATTTTGGGCAATAATTTGAGTCAACCCTAAAGAATAATACTTATAGGATCCATTGTGTCCAGCTGTGATTAGTTCAGTTCACAATTAACAACATCCAAAGTAATCGTTTTTACTTTATTTACAACATAATACACTACATAACTTGAGCAACTATGACGAAATTTTAATGTTATAAAAGTCAACACATTGAACCTATTGACATTCACTTATATAAATCAGAACTAGAGGTAAAATATGTTTTTTAAATTATTTTTCTCCGTCTTCGTTTTTACTATTCTGTAAATAAATTGCAGTAAATATAAATAAATTTTACTACATAAAGGTAGTATGATGATATATGAGAAGTGTTAGAAAGAGGAAAAAAATTTTCCAGTCCTGTTTTTTAACGTATCTAATAAGTGAGAATTGAATTTTGCGAAACTGTTCATGAATAATATTAGTAAGTTAATTATTTTATTTTAAAATTTTCCTGAAAGAACAAAGGTTTTAGTAAAAAAATAACGATGTACAATTTTTGGGAACTTAAAGCAACAAAACTAAAGCCAATAAGAAACACAGACACAATATCACTAAGTGTAAATTAAATAACTGCAGAACATTCCACGAAAAGGAGAATGTTGCACATACAACTGCCCACGGAAAACAATGTGAACTTATATTTTTCAACTATTTAGCGAAAACATTGGTCGTCGTAGTAAAGAAACCCGTAATTTGAATCAAGTGACGGTAAATAAAATGTGAGATTAAGTTTGAAACTGGCCTTCCAGTAATTTAGGAACATTTACTCCATTTTAATTTCGAACCAGCATTATAATTTTTTAGTACAACTCATAAATGATATGCGTCTTAACCACGTGGAAAAAATTTTAAATTTAAAGAAATCTTAAGCTTTCTTGCGGAAACGTCCTCCTCCGAAATGTTAAAAAACACCCAGCACTAAAACTAGTACAATTTTTTAATAATAAAAAAAAAAGTTTCAAATTGTGTTTACTAACTAGTAAACACTTATTTCTTGCAATATCATATTATTCTCACATTCAGGTAAACTGCGCATTTCAGGAACACTATATAAAAAAATATCTAAAGTATTACGTGTGCCATACAAACGTATCTTTGAAACCAGCAGTCGAAATTCATCCTGACTGCAGTTTTCCGTTGCTGTGGCAACCACTCGATGAAAGGAGAGACATAGTACATTTCCCGAATGTTTCGTTGCTAAGGCAAGAAATGTTGATACAAGTTATTCCTAAGGACTTAATAAGCCCAAGAAACAGCAATAAACTCTCTAAAAGGGTAAGTTTTTATTATTAGTTTGTTCATTTGAGTTACTGTTAACTAATAATGTATGGTCATTTTAAAATTTAAGCATTGCATAAAAACTATGAATAAGTTTTATCTAGAAAACTGTTCTTAAGTCGAAAACATAAGATAAGTAATAAATAATGTGATAAGAATAATTTTAGTTTCCAATCAAAGTTTTTCATTTAACTTCACCTTATTTATTTTTTATCTTTTTTTTCTTTTTGCAAAATTAAATTTTTTTATTTATATGGTACAAAATTTTAAAAAAATTGAGAAATTCTGAATCAGAGCATGTTAACGCAGATGCCATTATAAATGATGTTGTGTCTAGCACTTCCTCCACTATTTCATAAAAAAAATTATTAATCCATGATATCTAGTATATTAGTAAGGCCAGAGCATTTAGATCCAAGCAGATGATCAGAAATTTCAGCACCTGTCTTTTAGACCATGTTTTGAAATAAAGCTCAAATATTGTCACAAATCTGTTTTAAAGTGTGTAGCATGTGCTACAGGAATATAAGATAACGCTTTCCCATTTAAATACAAAACTGGCTTTAAACATAATATCGGAGGATTTGTTGAAACAGCTTCCATTTTCAGATTGCATGATAACTTAAATTCTGTTACAGTCTTTGACTAGCATCATATCAATCTGTCACAGTCGCTGACCAGCGTCACTGTCTTTAACCAGTATCAAAATTAGTCCTTGATTACTATCATAATAATAACCTCGATCACAGATTTTAAAACTTTATTTTTCCTTTTCATATGATAAATATATTTGTTGGTGTCATTACGAATATGTTATTAGTAATTAATTAAAATTATATATTTGTAATTTCCTCATTATTAAAATTCTTAGTTAGACTTCAGATAAAAAGAATACATTTTGTTTTCTCTCAAAAGTACCATTTTAAGATAGAATGGAGCTAATTATTTCACGTAAAGTGAAGACGATATAATAAATTATTTTTAACGAGGTTTAAATTATTACTTATTTCACTGGAAGGTTTCTAATGATGGCACGTGTTTGGGTGCATATGAGTCTACTGCATCTTTAAATTACAAATACAAAATTTTCAAAATTTTCTTTTTCTTTTTAATTGTTGTACAATTGCATTATATTTTATTTTTAACTTAGGAAGAAATGACATTAAAGAAACAAAAGGAGCCGTAATTGTTTTACATGGTGGTTCGATTTACTTGTAATATATTTGATTGCATTTACAAACTAAACAGTGCATATTATTAGCTTTTAAAATGAAATATATGTGAATGTAATAAATTCATACTCATGTAATTTTTTTCACGCTTCTTAAATTTCGCACCACAATAAACGGCAAATCACTTTTCAAATTCTTGCCACCAAATATTAGAGCTCTGTGTGATATTTCAAGAAATTAAGTAATGAGGAATCTGCATAAATATATATATATTTCTCGCATTGTGATAAAAATCGGTACCTATAACCATCATGCGTTTAATAACATACGTCTCAACCCACATATGGGCATCTGGAAGTCCAAATTTAGAATTTGGAATTTGGTTTACTATCTCTTTCACATTTTGTAAAGAATTTATGAGTTTTTGATTAAGAAACTCAACGGTTTCAAAGCGAGCCATGGTAACACTGTATGGAAAAAAGAAAAAAAATATCTCCAGCCCGCAAGACTGTGTATTTGGAATTCTATACATATGTTCCTTTAAACATTTTGTGATATTATTGAATTGAATTTTATGGTTTCAGTGTGAAGAACATGATATTTAATAAATAAAGGTAGCACACAAAACGCTAAAGAAACGCTCCTTCGGGCGCAATATAAAATCTGATAACTTTCAGAATTTTTTATTGTTTTATTTTCGATTTTAGTCAGCTATTTAAAACTAGGCAAAATCGAAGTCTTAGTCCGGCTTACATTTTGCGTAACTCTATGGATTTGGAGGATATCAGACACAAATCTCTATCCTTCAGAAGTAAAAGAATTCTAACGAATTTTTCCTTTACCTGTGAAAAAAAAAATCCGATGAAAAACATGTACGCCAAATAAGGTTGCTTTTTTTTAACCTTGCTTTAAGTTTTACGTTTCCGTGTTCTTCTAGTAATTGAGGTATGCCCTCCAGTATTAAGATTAGGAGTAAGTCATCAATCAAATAATTTCCAGAAATGTTATGAGTTCACAAATGAACTACGGCGTTAAAGACATTATGAACATTTTATGAATACATATTCGCATTATTTTGATTAAAATTCTGTGGAAGTATCCTTTTATATGTTTCTTGTTGTATTTATGTTAAATTACCGTATTTGCCAGCGTATAAGACGCATCGACCTATAAGAAGCATCACACCATTTTTATACACATTTTTGAAAGATAAAGCTTGATAATTTATAATTATAATGCATTTACAGTATTTTAAATATAAAATAATACAAATACAAAGTAATACTTTCTGAAAATACCCAATATATCTGGAAAAGAACACCTTCTAATCTTCTTCGTCAAACCCAGACACTCATCTCCAGAGCTGAATGAAGAGTCACCTGAAACCTCCTCTAAACCAGCATCTGAGTCCACATACAACAAATTATCTTCTGCGCCATTCAGTGCATTACTACCTCTTGCTGATTCCGCCAAGTGCTTGTCATTTTTCATATGGGTGTGCTCCGAAGTGCCTCTCTGCAGTCCTGTTTCCATGTTCGTTAGCATACGCAATCACACGTAGCTCGTATGTTATATTACAGAAATGCCGATTTGTTTTCGGCCCATAACTTTCCAACATATTTAGGAAAACTGAACAGTAGATATTTCACACACCTAAAAGTCGTTCACAAAAAGAAAGTTAAACGAACCCAGCTATGATCATCGATGACAGTGCATGCGCATTCACTGAACTCTACGTAACTGTAATATTCACACTTCGCAAGATCCGAATAAACTGAGTATCGACGTATAAGACGCACCCCGTCTTTCAGACCTATTTTTCAAAGAAAAAGTGCGTCTTATACGCCGGCAAATACGGTAGTTAAATTCCTTTGTTGTTTTGAAGTATCTATTTGAAGGTCCATTGCTGATTTTCCTCATCGTTTAATGTTATCATTTGGCTGATGTTATCAACATAGCCGTGGACAAACTTTATCATATTAAGGCAAACTACCTTAATTATTAAAATTTAATAATTAAATTTTAATAATTAAGGTATTTTAATTATTAAAATTTAATAATTAAGGTAGTTTGCCTTAATATTAATTAAATAATAAATTTAAAGATTAAGGTAGTTTGCCTTAATATTAACCAAAATTGCCTATTTTGAGGATCAGAAAAGCTACAAAATTAGCAACGTTTTCGCCAGGAATCGTACCGTGGACCTCTCAATTACGCGCTGACCGTGCAGACCATTACACCACGAAGGCTCGCTAAGAAGGCGGGAGAAATATCTTATGAAACTGCATCAAATATAGTATATCATTACAGTGAAAAATAAAAAATATTTGTGTGTGGAATAAATACACATAATAAACTTTCAAGTAAAACGTATTTTCGTACTCATTTAATTACACATTTACAGAAGCATTTAAAAATGTTTCTTTTTAGCCACTGTCTCCTTGAACTCCGTACATTGTTTATTATCATATGGCAATGATGAAATCCAATCTATGTCTAGTAACATAATAGCATAATGTATGACAGTATTGTAACCGAAAATAAATTACCTATTTTGAGAAATAGCTAATTTATTTTCGAAATCATATTGGCACCTCATTAATAGTAGATTCAGCTACAGATTGAGAAACCTATTTATTACAAAATACGAGAACCACAATTAAAATAGAAACATAGGGTACTCATTGTGTCTCATATGAAAACGTATTGTTAAAATTCCCAAGTTCACACACGTAACTATTTTCAGTATTTCTTCAGAGATATATCTTCGATATATGCACTCTTCCTTTAAAGTAAGTATATGTTTATTAGGCTATGGAATCTAATGATTCGTAATATATAGCATATTTTTAACTTTTTGTTCTGTTTGCTATGAATTCAAGATACTCTATCTTCTAACTATTTATCCTGCTATAAAAGAAAATGTTTTTGATTTCTAGAATTACCCAGATTTAAAATGTTATATCCATTTTCACAATTTGTTTAGCAATACAATTTAAAAAAGAACTTTTTTCTATGAAGTGGGAAGCTGCATATTTTACAATATAACAGACTTTCTATTTTAGATTATTCAGCACAACAAGATAAAGAAGTAGAAATGAGTAAATCAAGTAAGTGATTAATTTAATCATTAAATGCTTTGAAGTATACTTCTTCGGTTTCTTTTAGTTTTAAATGTCTTGCCAAAATCTGGCACTTTTTCAAAATAAAAAGCATTACAATTTGTGGTGGGTTTATTTGTTGCAAAGCTTGAAGAGCTACATGTTTAATCGGTTAAGTCTGAACATGGCAATTACTAATGATGTAATAATATTCAGAAAACGTTTTTCTATCATTTAGCGATGCCAGTTTTATAAACTAGTTTAAAACGTGTGACTTTGTGTTCAATATGTTAACTTTTCGGGACTGAGTCTTAAACTAGTACGCTAACCCTAAGTGCTTATTATTACTATTACTTTTTTGGGAACTGTTGCGAGTGCATATATGGAAGATGGAGCTAAACTGAAATTCAGTACAAGCAAATTATATTTCATTCTTTCTAAATGTTTGTGATTTTTAAAACTTTTCATTTTTTAAATATTCTTTTGTGACGTTTAGAAAATTCAGTAGTACTTCAGATGTTAGAATATGATCTGAAATCTTCAGACTGCAATTAATCTTTCTACAAGGAGTCTTTTGTTAGAGTTTACGTTACTACGCATGATATCCTATTGAAATTAATCTGATAAATAAATTTCATTTCTAATCTAAATACGAATAACTATTGAAGGCAAAAGATGTTATGTAAAATTTCAAAATGAAGCGATGTTTACCATATTTGCATGATAAACATAAAATCTGTTTTTAGTGAAGCGAAGTCCGTATGAAGTTTACACTCAGAAGCAAGTTAGAGCAGCATTCGAAGTTTTTGACGAAGATAGAAAAGGAAGGGCTAAAATCAAGTAAGAATTAACTTTTAGTTTGAAAAACAACTTTTATTAAAATTAATTCAAAATGCAATTAATTAGTACTTGATTGATAAGGTGAACAACGATGCATTTGAAACTAAGTAATATTCATAGTTGTAAGTTTAAAGATTCAATATTCATTATAATTTTACATGAACACATACACACTCATATACAATAATAGCCAACTTCATGTCATTTTGATAGCAATAACTTCTATAATCAATGTTAATTTTTGATACAATTAATTTCTTTCAATGCAATCGCATACACTACTTCTTCATTGTTCGTATACTTACTGGTGGCATTTTGCACTACTAAAAGAAAATGGTTAAAACAAACTGAAACTACTCCAGGTCTAGATTCCCAACGGAATAGTTGTCCACATGAGAGTTCTTGTGGTTTTCCTAATGTGTAACGTAATTACGAGCCATTTCCTATATAGTATTTATCAAGAAGACAGACCTCCCAAGAGAGATGCTTTCAAAAGCTTTTTCTTTATCATTTGTTTATCTGCTTTTTTGAGGTTAGTTTTTCCCCTTGTTTTTATCACATTGCTGACTAAAAACCTGCTTAGTACTTCATATTGATTAAACGTAAATTATCTGAATAAGTGTTAGATAAATATTTCTCTGACTGCGCTGTTTAAACTTTCTTACATTTTTTTAATGCTGGAAAAGTGTGCAATACCTTCGTCAGGACTCGAAACTGGACGAATACGGGTCGATTGTACTACCACACGATGGCGTGCTGGAATGAAAAAATAAATACCTTATAAAAGAAATAACATTCTAGTTTTGTCAAAATCTGCAATTTTGTGTTCTTCACGGATTTCTGCTACAGTCCTGGCTAGTGTATATCGGACAAACTTAACATCTTTTCTGACGTAATTAAAATTCTGAAAATGAAACTCCTCTATCTGTGTGCACGAGGTAGGACAACATATCAGCTGCAAAATGAACTTTCCAGGAGTATATTTTCTCATAAACAGTTTCAGACTTGTAACTGCATGGCCTACTTGTCTTATGTATATACTAACAGTTTTAAGCTTAATTTCAGCTGTTGATGATTATGTAATCTAAAATTAGATGACTTTTATTTAAGACTCGCCTAAGAACAAAGGTGTGATGCCTTGTTGTACAGATTGATTACCTCCCGTTGTTTACTTTACTTCTTCTACAGAATAATGTTTACTTTTGCTGAGTAATGACTACCCTGTTCTAAGACAATTTTGAGCTTTTACTTTCGAGTGAGGCAACATTCAAGGCATAGCTGCTAGCGTCCGTTTGTATAGCTTTATTCTATGGTAATTGCATACTTTTTCTTAAAAATCCGGGAATCAAAAATTGTCTGTGAGACAAGAAAGAAATTATTTTTAACTAATGTTCACCCTGTATTTTAAACGGTTAGCTATTTATGAAATATAATCCTATAACAAGATGAAAAAACTGCAAAGAGTTCGTCAAAGCCTTTGTCTGCTGCCTTTCTCCTTTTTACATTTAATTAAAATTGTAGTAACAAAACAAAAATTTCCAATCGGTCCTTTATTAATGTAGCTTTTTTGGTAAAAACGTGCTGCATTCCATAATAGAAATCGATCCATTTTTGACTTTCTTTAGCCAAAGAAATTACTTATCGAGTTACATAGAATAAGAGTAACAATGGCCTTTTGACTACATTGTTTGCGAACCGTTTCTAATCTATTCTAAACCCAACAGTAACACTTGTCCCAAAAGGAAGTTCAGATAAGTATGATATTCATATCAGCTAAAAAAATAAAGTAAAATGAAATTCTTTAATTTCAAATTAAGTTAATTACAGTATGTTATGTGATTTGATTATGATAGTTATTAGTGTAAATTAGGAGTTAATTGGAAATAAAAAAGACGGCACTGAAATAAGAAATGAAAACGGAAGTTAATAATAATAGGCATTTCACTGTCTAAATGAATTAAGTAAGTTAGCAAACAGTGTTCCTTGTTATGTAAGATAATATATGTTGAACATCCTTGTGGGGGGAAAAAAAAGAAAATCTGAAATGTTTCAGATTTTAAATTACATCCAAAAGGCCGTTATTATAACATTTTGTGTGTTACATTTATTTATTAAATATCACGTCTTCGCACTTAAACAATAAAACTCAATTCAACAGCAATATCGCAAAATGGTTTTAAAATGAGCATATCTTTAGAATTTCCAATACAGAGACTCACGCGCTGGAGATAAAAATGTTTTTTCGGTACAGCGTTGCCATTGCTCGCTTTGAAATCCTTGAGTTTGTAAGGTAATTCTCCTACCTTCTTAGCGTGCCTTCGTGGTGTAATACTTCTGCACGCTGGGCTGGTATTCTGAGGTCAGTGGTTCGATTCCTGGCGAAGACGGTTGCTAATTTTTCATCTTGCCAGATTAAAAAAAATCCTAATGTCTCTCAAGTTTGTTAATAAAAAATTCGTTAATTTTTTACAAAATATGAAATTGATCATAAAGCAAATTCCAAATTTCAAATTTGGTCTTCCACATGCCCATATTCGTAGAAGAATTACATCTGAAATTCGATGACTCTATGTACCGTTGTTTTATCACAATGCGAGAAATATACATACATTTATGCAGATTTTTTATTATTTAATTTCTTCATATATAACACAGGGCAATAATACTTTCCGGCAACAGTATGAAAAATTATTCGCCGTTTGCAGTGAATCGACGCAAAATCGCAAAACGAAAACAATATTCCTTCGGGGACAAATAGCCTTTGAACTAAAAAAACTTTTGCAAAACAGTCATATTGCCTCAGCTGAGCATACGTCCTGGAAATAGGTCTTCCAGGTATACTGCAACTGAAATTAGCCATATTGTAGTGCATACAGAGGAAGTTTTGTAACTTTATTTAAACGTTTATACCAACGGGATTTGTCTCATGTTCCCACAGAAAGCAACATTTTTTAAATGCATCAGAATGTTGGTTATAAATTTAAGCAAAATATTATAAAATTGATCTACGAAATGTAATTATTTAGTTTTTTGTAAACTTCATGTCTAAATAAGATTATTTATAAATGGAGATCAAACATATTATACATTAATTAGAAAAATCTATAAGCAAAATGTGGTTAAGATAAATTAAGTAAAAACTGATTTTACTTCTCCATCTCTAATCTATCTCAATGATATTATTTGAAAAAAATTAAAATTTTTGTTTATGAAATTATTTTTAATAAACTTATTGTAATCCAATAAATAATAATAATAAATATTAAAATGTAAAAACAAAAATAAAATAATTCATAAATGAATTTAATAAATTTATTGCGGTAAATTAAATTTAGTCATTCTGTTTTATCATTAAATATTTGCACACGTTTACGAACAAGAGGTTTCAAAATCAGTTGTGATGTTAAAATTTGTACAAAACCTAACTGCTCTAATATATGGCTCCGTATAGACATTAGATGATTTATCGCCCCTTCTTAAACTTCCCGAGCTTACTACAGAATCCCGAGAAGGTTTAAAATGAATCTTTTTTTTTAAATTAGAGTTTAACACAACTTACACGGCTAGTGTACTTACAGAACATGTCACCACTTCCAGCAGAACATAAAATTCAAGATAAAACTTAAGTAATTCAAGTATGCAAATTACAGGCTAGTATAAGTTTGGCTCAGGCTCCTCGAATCACGTAAGAAATTACGCAAAAAGACTTTTGTTAGCCGTAAGTCAGTTCAGGTGAATGTAACAACTAGGCGAAAACAGTTCCAAAAGACGGTCAGTCAGGAGTTCTCTATTCACTACAAGAACTCTCTTTGTACTAAACGTTAACTAATTTGCGTATCGGTAGGAGCTGCAGAAAGAAGTGAAAATTAAGATAAAAATAATAATATAAAAAACAAAAATAAAACTTTACAAACCTAATTAACTATTAAATACATTTTTTAAAAATTTCCTTGTGATTCAAATGAATTCTCATCTTCACACTTATTAAATTTTTAACTATAAGAACACAGACAAAAGGAGATGAATCATAACTCAACGTTTTATAAACATAATTATTTGTTTTGTTTTGAACTTTTTTTTTTAAGTTTAGATTTTGAGCGTGAAGGTGCATTTGCCCCTCGCTCCGTATTTTTAACTTCGCTAATTGTTCTTGTCCTTTATGCTTGATCAGATAGCCTGGCTCAGTAAAAGTAGGCGTCCAGTGCAACTCTGATTAAAAATCCAGTCATAACCACGTGCAGTGCTGATAAGGACCACGTGTTTCTGAGACTCCTCTCCCTTTATTTTCTTCTTTCTAGGTATTTCTTTCTCCTGATGAGGAGGGACCTTTAGCTGCCCTCGAAATCGATTGAGTGTTTCAGTATACTTACACTAAATACAAGATTGTTTTTACGATTTTGATTGTCATATTAGCGTGTTTCTTTTCTAGTCTAAATGAATCTGTTTTGAACCACTATTATTTCTTGCGAACATTACGCTAGTTTGTATCGAACAGCAAATTTGTTAACCTGAAAGAAGCAGAAACATTGTGCTTTATGATATAAAAGCACCATTATTTGGCTTTGCGTTTCGATGTAAGATTTGAAGGAAATCATGTAACGATTGCTGACACATTCAGCAAAAAGATATCTAGATCTCTTAACATGAAATCGGTGATTTCGTGTTACAAATAAGGCAGTATATGTCTTTGGTCAATAATATAGTATAAGTCTTTGGTTTATAGAAATTACTCAGCGTCACTGGCAGTTTTAAAAATCTACCATCCAACGATATATACTATAAATTTTGCTGGTATCTTGTCCAAGTTCGTCATTTTGGCAGTTTTTTAATTACGATGGCTGCAATATTAAGGGCTGGAAACCTTCATCGTATGGTTAATGCCAGGGCATAGACCAAATTCGGAGGTGTTCATACTGCTGATGTATTTTTCCATTCTGTCTAGATGAAGTTCATTATGGTGGAAATGAGTATAAGAAATAACTTGCAAAGTTCTTGACAGT